TGTAAACCGCTTAGAGAGGGCTGAAAGCCCTATGAAGCGGTATATAAGTCTAACTGCTATTGCTACTGCTATTTCCCCTCCCCCTCCTCCTCTCTGCAAAATCCCCTCCCTTCTAGCACCAATGATGCTCCATAGTTGTGTAATAAAATGTCTGAGAGAAAACAACCAAGCTCAGAGAGCATCAAGGACCCCATAGCCTTCCTCCTCCTTCCCTCTACAAACCCCGCTCTCTTCTAACACTGATAATGTTATCTAGTTGGGTAATGAAACATCTGCAGGGAGAAAAAACACCCAGCCTCGGAGAATTTTAAGGACCCAACAGGTCAGTGGTGGGTTTCAAAAATTTTTGGGACTTCTTCTGTAGGTGTGGCCTGCTTTCCGAGTCCACTGGTGGAAACTCTTCTAACCGGTTCGGTAGATTTGACGAACCGGTTCTACCGAATTGGTGCGAACCGGTAGGCAGCCACCTCTACAACAGGTCAACCCAGCTACAAATATTCTCTTCTCTTGGTAAATCTACTGATCCTTAAAATGGAACCCAAAGTTCCATTTTCCTATGGCAGAATAATCCCAATGGGGAAGATCAAGGCTCCTTAGGTAAAGGTTCCCCTGGCACATCTGTGCTACTCGTTCCTGACTCTAGGGGGCGGTGCTCATCTCCGTTTCAAAGCAGAAGAGCCAGCGCTGTCCAAAGACGTCTCCGTGGTCATGTGGCCGGCATTACTCAATGCCGAAGACGCACGGAACACTGTTACCTTTTCACCAAAGTAGTTCCTATTTTTCTACTCGCATTTTTACATGCTTTCGAACTGCTAGGTTGGCAGAAGCTGGGACAAGTAATGGGGGCTCACTCCGTTACACGGCGCTAGGGATTTGAACCACTGAACTGCCTACCTTTCTGATCGACAAGCTAAGCGTCTTAGCCCCTGAGTCCCTTCAAGTTTCCTTACAATGGTGTAAACTCAGGGGCAGTGGTGAAATCCTCCGAACTCTGCTACCGGTTCGGTGAGTCTGCTGCCGAGTATGCACTTTGCGCGCATACATGCCTGAGATGCGCCCATGTAGCATTAAAAAAGGAACATTTTGAAGCTTTCCGTGTCTGCAAAGGTAAGTAGAACAGCGAGGGGTGGGGGAATTCGCTATGCGACATGATTTAGATTAGCTAGAGAGCAGGAATTCTGACGATTCGAGCTAATATAAATTGCACATCTACAGCTGATCGTCGGAAATACTGCCTGAATAGCATTTTTTTACCACCGGCTCAAGGGAACTGGCCCAAACCAGTAGCATTTCACCCCTACTCATGCGGGATTCCCACGTCATGGAGCACCACATTCCAGGAACCACCAGCACCCTTCCCCCAACTTCTGTCTTTCTGCTGGGAGAATTGCGTGGACCTTCTCAGCATCCGTTATTTCTTCCCCCTTCCTGAATCTCCGAGCCGCATCTTAACTGTGGGCATTCCAGAGGGATGGATTTAAGTTTCTTCCCTTTCCAGCCCAGCGATGCTCAATGCCCCTGTGCTCCCGGGTATCGGAGCCATCGAGAAGACAGGCGGTGGGATTGCGTCAAAGAGACCTATGATATTTGTAAGGACGATGCTGTCCGGAACCAAGATGGGCGGTGCTTAACTAAGGAGGAGTGGGCTCACTACTGTTCAGACCAGGTGAGTGGAAGGTGGTGGGAGAAGTCTACCGTAGGTGAAGGTTCCAAATAGCATCCAAAATTAAATCAGAGTCCAAGGCAAAGGATTGATCAAAGTTCCAATTTATGAAGAGAGCCATGTTGGCACATCTGGGGAAACCCAAATCTGAAAGCTTCCCGCTTCCCCCCGCCAGTTGAAAGTTCAAGATCTTGCCCCCCACACTCACAAGTCCATCCCATAGTCCAATCTCCCACTGCCGTGCTGGCAGCTTCCACCCATCCAGTTCCGATCAGGGGCAGAGGTGCAAGGACAAAAGATGACCTTGGCTTTCTAGAAAGAATGTTGTTATGGCTACATATCACCCAACTCCATACAATCCCCTCTCCCATTTTCCCACAATAGAAAAGGCATAGTAGAATAATGGAAAGTGTGGCAGGCCAAAGATCCAAAAGAAAAGATGGCGGCAGGCCTGACACCGTGGTTGGGAGTCTGGTGCAACCCCATTTTGGCCACTGACCTTCCAGCTTGGTAGCATTTTCCTTGATTCGCTCAAAGGGTGCTAAGCCAGGCCCATCACTGTCGTAATTGGTGACAGTTGTCAATTGGTGACTGACGAATGGGACTGACCTGATTTTATGATCTTTCTTTTTTCTGCAGCAGTCATTAAACAAACATCACAATTGTAAAGGGGACCAGTGGTGGGTTGCAGGCGGTACACCCCGGTACGAGCATACCGATGCCTGTCCGGAACACCGGTGCTCTGGAGGACCTACCCTCCTGCCCGTCATCCTTTTCTGTCTTTAAACTCTTTGGTGCTTCCGCGCACGGCGCATACAGCGCTTACGCAATGCTTCGCCGAGCAGCTGGAGCATTGCAGAGGCTCGCGGAGGCATAGCTGGAGGATAGGACGCATACACAAACTGCGCACATTCATGTGGAGGACACTAGGCCCTGTTGCAACCATACTGGTTGCAACGTGATCAATAACCCACCACTGAAGGGGACCGATGGGTCGCTACGAGCCAGCCATAAATGCTAGTTTTCAGTAAAATAGTTGTAAAATGCAGTTGTGCGATTGTGGGATGTCGAAAATGGCTGTAAGCCTGGCCTGGTGGATAAGTACTTGACATGCGGTCATATAACCATATGGGGTGGTAGTGGGGACTTTGAATCCCAGTCATAACTACCTCCAGGGAGGCCGTACGTCGTAGAGGATCACCTCTACGGAGTAAATTTTCATCCAAGGGACCATTGACTTGTCTCCTGATCTTCCCGGATAGGTTTGTGACATCCCACAAGACTATCGAGGTTATGACAAGGTTCTCAGGCTTTGCCTTTGTCAAGTGAGGAGCCTGGACAACATGTGTGGTCTCCTGTGCCGACGACGGCAAGGAGGCGTTTTGAAATTCTTCTGTGGAGACGGCCCGGCCCGACTTTCCATCGCGTACAAAAATGGCAGGCAGGTAATGAAGGTCAAGGAGGAAGCCGATCTTTCCCAGCTGCTCATTGTACCTGAAAGCCCGAGGCCTAAGCTGAGCATCTTCCCAAGGGCCAGCTGAAGTCAGGGGCTTCCCTGTTGGGAAAGTGCCAGCCAGGCTGGAAGGAGGAGTCAAGTGAGGGCCTAGTTTGGAGTCCTGCCATAGCTGCAAGCAGCATAAAGTTTGACCTCCCCCAAGATTCATGAAACCTTATCTGGTTGTTCCTAGGACTATGATGGCGAACCTATGGCATGCATTCCACAGGTGTGCCGGCCTGCTGAATTTTGCCCTTCTGGAGGGCCAGAGGAAGCCTTTTTCGCCCTCCCCAGGCTTCGGGAAAGCCTCCGCAGCCTGGGGAGGGTGAAAAACAGGCCCAATGTTCCAAACTTCCAGTAGACCCATTAGGCCCCTTTTTCAGCCCTCCCCAGGCTCCGGAGGCTTTCTTGAAGCCTGGGAAGGCTGAAAACGGTTCCCCTCCGCTCCCCAGAGGAAATACCAAGCTCAGCTTGGAGATGAGCAGTGCAGTGCACGTGGGGGTGGAAGCATGGGGTGGGAGTTATGCATGCATGCACATGTGAGGGAGCATTTCACATTAAGGGTGCCGGCATGCACGTATGCTATTGCACATGCGCACTTGCATTTTTGGCACCCAACCAGAAAAAGGTTAGCCTTACAGCATTCCAAATAGCATCCGAAATTAAATCAGAGTCCAAGGCAAAGTGTTGCTCAAAGTTCCAATTTAGACATGTTGGTACATCTGGAAAAACCCAAATCTGAGCTTCCTGGGTTTCCCCACAAGTTCAAGATCTTGTTCTCCACACCCACAAGTCCAACAAGGGCTACAGTGGTGGGTTTCAAAAATTTTTTGAACCTACTCTGTGGGTGTGGCCTCCTTTGTGGGAGTGGCTTGCCGGCCATGTGTTCTCTCTCTCTCTCTCTCTCTCTCTCTCTCTCTCTTTCTTCTTCTTCTTCTTCTTCTTCTTCTTGTCTCTCTGTCCCTTTTCCCTTTTTTTCTTTCATCTCTCTCTCACTTTTTTCTTTTTTCTTTTTTCTTTTTTCTTTTTTCTTTTTTCTTTTTTCTTTTTTCTTTT